CACACCTGTGTGCAGGCACACAAACACAAATTAAGAACCACTGCCTTTTCCAAGTCCCTAACAGAAAGGGACTTGGCAACTGAAAGAGAACGTTTATCAAATATGCCAAGTCTGTGGGAAAGAAACAAACACAAAACATGGTGAGCACTTCAAACCAGAGAAAGGGGCTCTGAATTCAAGACTCAGCTTGGCTACAAGCTTGCTAGTAGACCTTGGATAAATCAAAGACAGAGGCAGACAAGGAACTTTTAACATCTCTCCCACCCTCTTTGCATTCCTCCCATTTCATAGATGGAGGCGCTGAGGTTCAAGCGACAGTTATGCTTTCACCAAAGTCAAAGCAAATTTTTCAGAGCCAGGAATTGAACCTCAGACTCAAAAACTGGTTTCCATACTCTCTATCATAACACCCAAGATGAATGTTTCTGTTCAGTGACCTTTAAGTTATCTCCTAAGTAAGGGGTAATCACTACTCTCTTCTCTGAACTGAAAGTCTCATGAAGACATGAGTTTGGCTTCAGCAAAGGTGAATCCTGCTGTTTCTCAGTCCCAGCTGAGTCCCACAAGAACAAGACAGAGAGAAGGTCTGAAAGAGTTAGAAATGCTGCTATTAATCTTGTGTAGCACAGCAACAGGGAATTGCAGGCCTTGAACTAGATTTGCTGTGTTGGCTATTACTCTCCTGTCCTTTTGCATATTATTCCTTCATCCGTCTTCTCTTTATTAATGTTCCTAACTATGTGCAGTAAATAGACAGCTGGGAGTTCATCCTTAGTTTCCTATAATTCATTGGACCAGAAAAGGGCAGGAGGCAGGTGAAGGAAACTGGTGATGTCAGGGTCAAATAATTTACAGGAAGGCTGACGGGGAATCCACAGTCTCTTAGCAGATGCAGGGGACAGAAAGTGGCCATAACCCTCCATCCTACTGCACCATAGGAATTATTGAAGACGACTGGAGTCCTATGTTTTGAGGGTATCTCATATCCCTGCCTTGACACGAAGGTTGGTTTTGCTTGGAATATGAGGCTCTTTAAATACTGAGAAAAGAAAGGACAATTTATAGGAAGAATTCTCTCCTGTAAAACACAGAAATATGTCTATGGAGTTATAAAAAGAATTCTACACTAGGATTTGTCACTAATATTCAAACAAATCAGATCCCCTCCCTGACCTCAAAATCTCCATCTCTAGAATAACAGGATTTGGCTAGACTGATTCTTAAAGTCCCCTCTGGCTTTGACATTCTGACTTTTCACTATAGGTCAATGACTCACCCTAGAAAAGTCAAACAACAGAAGAGAAACACATTGATGTTACCCATGGATAAGTTTGCCAGATTCTCTGAAAATGAGACCCAGATTATGAAGGCCATGGAAGAAGATAGAACTTTACCCCTTTCTAACCAGAAACAATGTTTCCTGAGATAGGAGAGCACCACTGCTAAATGCCCAATTCTAGTGCATATAACATCCAAATCACTAACTGCTCTTCTGGTGTAAAAGAATCATAAGTCGAGCCTCCCCTCATGGTGCAGCAGTTGAGCACTGGGCTGTGAAGCTGCCCGCAGCCTCTGCAGCACTGGTTCAATCCCCGACCACCAGCAAGGATCCCACATGGTACGCAGACCTCTCCTGAGGCCCACTGCTCCCCTCAGCAGTGTACTTCAGTCCCTCTGCCTGTTCTGCTCCCCGCTCTGGCTCTGGTGAATTCTCTCACCCTCCCGTGTTTCTGACTGTACCCAGTGCTTGCATAAATAAATAAACCTTAAAAAAAAAGAATCAGAAGTCAAAGAAAAGAATTACAATTTTCGTATACTGGTCTGTAGTAGTCAGAGGACTTGCTATGACTTTGGAAAAGTGGCAGCAAGAGGGAGAAAGGATAAACTAAGTAATTAAATCATGCACAATCGAACAATTGCCATAATCAACTATTCCAAATCAGTCTGTTATTAGATGCCAAAAATGGATCCTGGAGAAGGAAAGTGACTTGCCCAAGTTGATACAACCAGAAATGGGATTCTAATAATGGGAATCTAATTAGATTTCCATGTCTTCTGTTTCACATAACAACATATAACATATTACTTCATACCCAAAAACAATGAGACTATCTGGGTAACTAAAAAAATAATTTCATTTAAAACCACAGCCTATACCTCCACGTTAAAAAAAAAAAAACAAAACACTAACTGAATAATTTGATTTAAGGGGGATTAGGGCTGCTTCCATTGAATTATAATAAACAATTCACTCTAGCAATATAGACAAGTGCAAGAGAATTAATTAGGTATTATTCATCCTTGCTAATGAATCATCCTGTGGATAACAGGGATAATGAACCATCTACAGGAGGCCAGAAGTCTGTTCTTGTTCAAGTACAGATCTTGTCTATTAAAGAACATTGGGTATCAGCTCTAAATAGTAAACAGGGTATACTATTTCAGATTCCATGAAGTGCAGCTTTAAATAGATTTGGTTTGGAAATGGGACAGGGAACACACCACAGTCAGTGGATCAATGTTGAAAGCAGAGAAAAACAATGATTACACTCATTAAGTGGGTACCTGTTGACACATCTACTGTCAAGTCTAATTATTTATTTAAACTGTTATTCTTTCTTCATTACTGCCACTAATACCAATTATTACCACAAGATTATTTTAAATTTCTACTGCATGCCCCCACAATATTCACTTTTCCACCCTCCAAAGCTATTTGAGAAGCTTTCATCTTTCCTCCTTACCAGTCCCCACCTCCAAATATATAGGATGGATAGATGGATGGATAAACAGACAGGCATAGAAGATTCTTCTTTTTCAAGAACAAACATTCATTCATAAGCTTCATGGCTTGTTTAAATACCTCTTTGTAGTTCCAAGGTGGGTTTCAACAAGGAAGCCAAGGGACACAACAAACCACTTTTTGGAGTTTGTTTTATTAATATTTAACAATTGCCATTTAGATGAAATTATAATAACTGCAGTTTCTAAATGAACATGTTATACCTGTCGAATAAAATTATATCAAGAATTATGATACTGCAGGTACAGTACATTGTTTTCTGATATATTAATCTGTTAAAATAATATATTAGAAAGAAATTTCTACCAAGGCAGTTTATGGCATAGAAAGGGGCCCAAAGATGAGCAGGAGACAGTTCTGAAATTTTGGTCACTACTGTTTTTATAGCCCTCTCTTTTGTAGGAATGAGGCCAAAATCAATTTAACACAACTGGCCAGTATGCCTAATTCTAGAGGAATTTTGTGTCCATATGTCACCCACCTTATTTACAGATGAGGTGTTCTTATTCAATGTGAATGGTGAATATCAACTTTAAAAATATATTAACACCATGATTTCCACTAAATCTATTTTTTAAGACTTATTTATTTATGCATAAAGAACTGGGGTACAGGCCAGAGGTGCGGGGGGTGAGAGAATTCACCAGAGAGAGTGGGGAGCAGAACAGGTCGATCCACTGAAATACACTGCTGAGGGGAGCAGCGGGCGAGGCAGCAGAGGTCTGCTGCCCCATGTTGATAGCTCCCTGGCCGGGGATCTAACTCGTGCTGCAGTGGCTGGCGATATTTTTCTGGCGATATATTGATAGCACTGTCTTTAACCCCAGCGCCACCAGGGAGGCCAAATTTCCACTAAATCTAAATCACCAAATCCTACAAATATGGAGCAGTGCCAACAAACTTTAATTTTTCAAAGGTCTGTGTAGCTAGAGTCAAGTTTTCAACTCCAGGTCCTGAAAATAACATGCCAAAGGAATTATAAAAACATCAGCAGAATATAGGCTTACAGCAGTTTAAATGAGCTGTAATCAAATATCCATAAAGTTGCTATTTTACTGGACCTTTCCTTAGAATACCATAGACTTCCTCAGTTCTTTTTGCCTCAGACCTCTAAGTGAAGACACAGAATGCAGCAAAGCTAACTGGGAAATGAAGATTAGGTGGTTAGCTGCAAGAGAAAACTCACACCTCACAAAAATTCACAAATAGCATACTAACTTCAAATTTTTTATTATCATTAATTTTTAATGAAGTATCATTTCCTTACATCCTTGCTGATTTCTTTGACAATAAAGGATTTCTCCCCTCAGGTGTGGTCACCGTAGCTCTCCTACCACCAAAACACACATAGTTCTCCACGTAGTCCAACATGCTCTCTGTCTTCCTCCATTTTCACCCCCAGCCCCTTCTCCTCCCTTCCAGGATGCCTCAGGTCTATGGTCAGCTTTCAAGGGTTTATGTTAAGGTTTGTCTTTGATCCTTTATTTGGTTTTAATATATTCCACATATAAGTGACACCATCTGGTATTTTTCTTTCTCCTTGTGGCAGGAGAACATTTAACATTTTCTGGTCACTTTCTTGACAAACTCAAAATGGATGCATTCTTTTGTCAAAGGCTTGTCTCCACACAGGAGAGTGGCATGAAGATATTAGAGGTCCTGGGATTCAAAAGACTTATTTTCTGTTCACAGATTTTTTTTGTGGCTATGGATTATGTCTTCTTGAGATGTTTTTTGGGAAGCTAAGAGACAATGATGGACTGGACTAGACTAGTGAAGTTTGGCCCCTTCAAAGAAAGAAAGCTCTTTCAGGATAATGTAGTGAAAAATACACTCAGTCAAGGGTCAGGAAAGTATGTAGAAAGCCCTTCCAACAACTTAGCTGGGGAGACAATAATAATAAGGTCCCACTCCATGGCATGTCATGGACACAAGCATACTCACCAAGCCCGGACCTCCTGCACTGCCCAGACTTTGCGCTTTTGGTACTAAACCTTATGGGCTAAAAACACAAAGGGAAATTCAAATCGAGAAGCCATAAAAGGGGGCATTTCACTGTGACCTGACATTTTTCAGTTTTTGTAGTTCTTGAAATGCCCTCATATTTCTTCTGTTGAGAGTGAAATCAACCTTATGCAGTATTGGCTAAGACGCCTGTAAACATATCATAAATGCAAAGATGTCAGTCTTGTCTTACCTTAGACAGTTAGCCTATGGAACAGTCAGTTGTCAAAAGGTTCAGCAAACTGCAGTGTCTGTAACAGAACAGTGGAAGTTACTAGTAGGTACTAAGCTCCACATATCCAGTAGTAAACATAAGCTGTATCCTATATTGCAATTTCTTATTTACAAAACATTCTCACATTCATTATCTCGTTTCACCCTATAACAACCCAACAAAAAATAGGAAGAAAGATTATTTTTCCTCATAAGTGAGGAAACCAAAGGTCATGGAGGAATAAGTGAGATGAGGCAGGAACAAACATCTCTCTCTGATTAGCTTTACAAACAACATGAAAAATGAGCACTACTGTCCTCTTTTTAAAGATGTGGAAAGTGAAAATCAGGATAGGTAACATCCCTAACACTACATAGCACAGATGTGCAGGGTGTGAGGCTGGACCCTCTAACTCTGTGTAGGACCAGTAATCTTTCCTTTATAGCTTAGTTCTCCTGGAATATCAGGTCAGGAAATCAGAAAGACAAACAAGTCATTGATTTGATCCACTAGGCTTGGTGGAAGAGGGGATAACAAAATAAAACCAGCTATTTGATTGACACAAGGAAATGGGAAAAACACATGGGATTTATAACCATTCAAAATTGAATTCCTCTTACCAGTGGCCTTAGGCAAGTTACTTAAACTCTGAGTGCAGATTTCCTTATATGTAAATGAGGGTTATAATAGCTATTTTACAGGTAAAGCTCAGTTAAACTTTTTTGGAAGAATATCTTCCATTGCTTTATTTATATATATATTTACACACACACACACACACACACACACAGTAGTGACATATAAAATGATAACATTTCTTCTTCTGAGTCCATTTATATGATCACAGAATGGTGTTATAAGCATGCAAAATGAGAAAATATCTCTGGATTGGGCATATCTTTGATTTGTAGCCCCAGATTTAAAATAATGTTAATCCATATCAACCTCATATGGTCTTAACTAACAAAAGCACAGGGACTGTATGTTTCAAAAGACAAAGCCTCAAAATGTAAAAAACCGAGTGTTATTCAACTCAAAAAGCAAGAGACACTGCTTTAAGTGAAAAACCTGAAGGTGTGTTACACATCATTTTACATGTTGTGTCTCTATATTGTCTTAGGTTTTCGAAGAAATAGTGTTTCCAAAACACTTCAAAAACAAGGGAATTTATCACAATGGATAGATTTATTGGTAAATATAAAATCTTTTGAAAGTTTTATTAAAATACCCAACATTAATGTAGGACACAAATCAGATAAACAACAGAACATTGACATTGTTGATGGGATACAGTCAAGAAATTCTTATCACACTACCAAAATCCAAACATTTATCACCTTTTAGCATATACCTTATGGTGTGAAAAGTATCACATGACCATTATATCTCAAATCACTCTCAGGATAACACCAGTGAGACCTTATTACTCCACTTTTACCAAGGAAACCAAACTTCAAATATAACAATTAATATGAGGTAAATAAAAATCTGACTTTGCCTCTTGGTCCCCAAATCAGTGAGCTCCCTCCTACTGTATGATGCAGCCACCATTAAAAAGTGCTCTGCATGGAGGGAATGGAGCAATGAGTATATGTCATTGTCCAAGCAGCAAAGCACACTTAGTATTTGGTTCTGCTTTACTGGCAAGTAAAATAACGAAAGTAGCCTTCAGATCTGTTGTCTAACCAGAAGGTGACACATTATTTAGCTGAAGCAAAAGGAAATGTTCACTGCAAGTGTGCCACGAAAACTCTCAGCTCTCCCCTGTTCAGAGACACAACATCCCTGGGCAAGCTATCAAAACACAAGCCACAAAAACAAAAGAAGTTGGCACCACTGAATTTTTGCAAAGGGATTTTCATCCATAAGTCTCACCTTAATCAGTAGGAAAGCTGAAACCTCCCACACTAAGAAGTTTTCCAGGCCTCTTTACATAGTTTGTGTTAGTGTGCTAGGTAAGTCCTGGGTATTTCCTGATGAAAGCAAGTTCTCCACTAGACCCAGAAAGATACCTGGTCCACAGGATAGATCCCCTCTAGTGGATGAGTCATGAACTCAGTTATCCTTGACTGTCTCTCCATGTTTTTGCTGACCCAGAACCTGGCAGAGTTGCATTTTTAGTCAGACCACCCATCCCTTCCCAATAAAAATGTTATCCTTTCAGAAGCAATTTTAACCAAAACAAAAGAGATTTGAAAAATTATAATCATCCTCTAACTTGTATAACTTTACCCACTAATTAGAATCTATGTAAAAGCAAAACTCACCAAATGTAGCTGGGACAGTTGTAAGATAATAGATAAATTTATTTTGTATTATGAAGGGAAAAAGGGAGAGCATAAAGTCAAGGAGTAAGAGGGGATAAAGAAAAAAAAAAGCAATGAAAGAATGTGTGCAATGAACAAAGAAAAACCTATTTATTTCAACATATATCTCACTAACCAGGGTATTTCTGAGCTGACCATTGCATCTCAGGACATTTTAAGCAACATTACTCTAAGATGATGATTCTAGCATGCATGAGCAAAAATTACAGCCAAGTGCCATCAGAACTGCTAAGACCAGTGTAAAGATATCTAATGATATGTGGTATTTTTCAAGTGCTATCATACAAATGAGTAATATGATACAGTCTTGTGAAAACTTCCAGTAAACCAATGAATGTAAGTCTTCAGTTCTGTGATACCTGAGTTTCTTTCTGAAGAGGGGGGGTGTTGGTTGAGGGCCTGGGTTTTACTCTTAGCACTATAATTCCCAAATCTATTAAATTGGAAGTTGGATGAAATATTCATTTTTGGTCGATTTTCACAGGTTTTGACCTTGGTTTCCCTAAATCATTTCATCTAGATTTTGTGCATTTTGGTAAATTGTATGCAGAGGTAGAGGATGTAGTAAAAGGATTATTTCTCCTAAGATTTGTTTGCATTAAATAATGTCATCATCTTAAACATCATCATTAGAAAGACTGCCTCCAAAGGCAATTGAGATATTAAATTAGGCTAAAGACATTAGAGGACAACATGGACTGTCCTCCACTCCCATCATCAAATCCCATATGAAGAATTTTTATATGCACTCTCTCACCCTCTTCCCTAAAATACCTATCAAAAATACAACATATTCCAGGGCTTATGAATGATTTGGTTGTCTCATTAAAGTAATGTTTGCCAGCATTTAATTGCTTCCCTCCCTGATTTTAATTTCCTCACCTGTCAGCATCTATCAGAGGCACTGAGATCTTCTGACATCCTGGCTGATTGTGTTGAAATTAATCAGATTTCTAAAAAGTAAATTGCTTTGGCCTACAGGTAATGCTCAACTTCTTAATGTGATATTTATAAAGGTTCTATCAATGGAACTTATAATCTAGAAATTAAATGAGAGACTCTAGGAGACCTAAAGAATAAAGGAGTCTTAAGCAAATATACAAGTCTTACAAATTATCAGCACAGGACTTTAACAGATCAGTACTTTTTTAAAAATTCAATCAACAAGTGCTTACTGACTATATTAGCACTTACCAGCAATCAGTTTTGAATAAACAAAAGAGAGTAAGACATGCAGTTACCTCAGAAAGTTTGGAGAAACAGGTAAAACTTAAGTAAGCTAAACTCATCCTGACTAGAGGTAGCTATTTGGTCATTCAAAAGGTATACATTGTATTACAATTGCAGCCAGATATAATTTCATGCAGATCAATGATTTTACTTTCCACCTGAATCCAGTGAGGTCAAATTGGAGCTATTATCAGTATAATTACAATATTTTCAAAATGATTACAAAATGTCAAATAATTACAATATTTGACAAGTGGCCAAGCTGGGCACAGAATGGTGAAGAGACCCTTTCATAGACACCTTGTTATGGGCAGGTCTGGTCTTGTGATCTAAAGAAAATCAGAAAATATATCATGATCACTTGGGAAATAAAGAGATTAAAAATTCCTTGTAAATCCTCAAACATAATTATTCAGTGTTAATTCCTGTACTAATATCTATACCTAACAGTGCTTAAGACACTTAAAAACCCACAAGCACCAAGCAAGCTCTTCTATAAGAAATAATGCAATGATACAGAAATATTTTGTAATGTCTCCTACCATGATGAGATTATTCTTATGTACTTATGTTGATATTCGTAATTTGGAATATAAAAATATGCATTCATGCAGTAATTGGGTCCCAAAATGTGAACCTGTAATCACACATGTCATCATATCTGTCTTTCTGTAATTGTTGGTTCTAAGGTCCTTAAACCAAACAGAATAACATTCAAGGGTAATGAATGGAATCTATAGGTTCATTTTATAACTGAGCATAAACAAACCCTATTATAGATCTTATCATTCCACTGGATTCTGATCTCCTTCTCAACCTTTATGCAACTCTCCTGCTCTGAAACTTTTCCTGACCCAGAAGTTTGGTGAAGCAGCCTTTGTTAAGACTACTACAGCACCCTGCTTTGTATCAAGATCATGAAAATTACCATATTGTTTTATCATTTTGATAAAAAGATATCATTTGATTTGTGTGTCTTGAGGACAGAAACTTTGTCTAAATCAATTTCTTGAATCCAAAATATAAATTCAGAATCTATTACTTAGTAAACACTCAAGAAAATGCTTATTGAATGAGTACATGATCAAGTAAAAGTGTTCAAAGTAGTTCCTACAGCACCTAGCTCAATGTACATAAAATAATTGTTAGTGAATGATGATTGAATTGAAATTGTTAACACATCTACTTCTAAAAATATATTGTTTAACTAAATAATTCTACAACCTAATGAGTGAGTGGTTCAGTGAGGTTTTAAGTAACATGCAATGACCCATTTTCATTAACTCAAGAGTTAAAATAATGTGTCCATAGGAAAAAATAATAAAGGCCGAACATATCAGCAGAAATGCAGACAGAAGTTCAGAAAATTCATGGAGAGAAAAACTATTTGTTGAAATCTATGTTATGAACTAGGTACAAAATTACAAAATAAAAGGGGAAACAAACTAAAGAAAATGGGAATTTTTGTAGAATTCATTTT